TCAATTCCCCTCAAAACTCGATCGAAGACAGCAGAGTGCCAAATATTCGTTTCAAATGACGAAGAATTCAAGAGCAAATATCGATCGGAGTGGTGAAAGCCGAACACTCGTCTGCCTGTCTATATAAACTCTAACGCAATAATTATCGTTGATTTCGGTGAGATACTAGTGTGGACGGGCTATTCGCTTCGGAAGTGACAACTCATTCTGTTGGTTTTCTTGGGGGAAGTTGAAGGAACTACTAATTGCGCTGTTCATAGAAAAGCTTAATGGCTATTTTTACTTTACACAGGGAAGGAAGTAAAAATTTCACGAATTCCAATGGCGATACTCACCTCGGAGGCAACCAAAAAGTCGTCATCGGTTACGGGCGAAATTCTACCGCTGACTATGGCAAGCGCCACACCGGGGAAAATGTAGGAATTATTCGCCTGGCCAGGGTGGCGATATAGGGGCTGTTTAAGTCCTGGGCAGGATGCGGGATCCAAACTGACAGGTAGGAACGGGCTCCCACTGGCGAAAACACAACGCCCCTGATGAGGGATAGATGGAATAGCGGCAAATGGATCAATAATCACCTGGATGGCACGCACTCTGTGCGTGACAGTTCCGAGTTGAGAAAAAAACAATTCGCCTACGACTGTAGACAGTACGTCAGCAGATTATTAAGGAGAACAAACCAACAATGTCCGAAAGCCAGTTCACGGCGGACAAGTCCGTGTGACGCTGGCGAAAAAACAGCGCAGTTGGAGCTGTGGAGGCAAATTTGCCAAAGTATCTAGGTTTCGGAAGGACGTAGAGAAAGGAACTAGGGATCGTTGGATAAAATTTAGGAAAGTCAATGATGACCTTCAGCTGCTGGTTGGGCCAGACGAAGTTTCCAACGCGCTATTCTCGATTGCCTGTTCATTTCGGTCTGATCTCTACGTAAACAGAATTTGATGTCCTACTGATGAGCACTATTGTGAGTGGACCTGCAGACCAGAAGACGAGGTAGATGAGCGAAACCTTCTGAATGTCAAGACTTCGCTGCTCCTTTACTCCAATCCGACGAACCAAAAATGTGGTTGGACTTCATAGAATGTTACCACTTGAGGTCTTTAGTTCATAGTCATCATCGACAGCGTGACATCAGTGTTCAACATTGATGCTTCACTGCCATACAACCATGATTTATTTGAAAGCCTTATTGTGAAGAAAAGAATAAAGGTGAACGGGAAAGGGACTTAGTGCCACTTTACCACAATATTTCCGAGGTGCCTATACCTCCAGACATTCACTCAGGCGATCTGGATAGAAACTAACCAGAAGAACGCCACTGACATCGGTTGGTAGCCACATCTTGTAGTGTCTCCAACCAGACGCAGTGAGGATCCCTAGGTCCCCATCCTGGATGGCGAGTAGCACCGACAGCACCCAAGCGTTTCATGATCTCCTTCATACTCCTCTGCCAAGTCAAGGGTTGGTTACCTCTCTGTTTACGCCACTCTGAATTGGGCATGGAAAACAGAACTCACTTCGGCAACCGATGGTTAGGCATATGCAACAAATGTCCCAACCAACGCAGCTTCTTCTACTGGACACACTCTTCAATGGAAGTACCTGTTGCACAACCGAAAACGCGCTTTCTAACTGCCTCGTTACGGATTCGCCGAAACCAACTCACGAAATGGGTTGACGAAGACGCAGTAAAACTTTTTATCACGAATTATTACTTATTAGGTGAAGGATTCTGTGAAACAAAGTTGCTGATACACGAATCACGTTATCCCGTCCCGGGAAAGTTAACATTAAATTGCATGCCCTAGAGATAATCCTACCATAACCTCTCTTCCACTCCCCTCCTGAAAAGGGTTATCTACTTCCGGCCGACGCCATAGGTTCCAGCCGTCTTATGCAGACGAAGCTAATTGCAGGAACCAGTAGGAGACCTGGTATATCACAGTACTTACATGCGTGTGTTTGTAAGCTTCTTCAGCTGTGCACTCGGCAACTGGGGTCGGATTACTCAAGGCCATAATCAGCGGTTTTTCATTCAGCTCAGCCATCAGGTTGAGAATTTTCGGTGTGAATTTTCGCGGAACAGCGGCGGCTCCCAGGAGAGCTGTACATTTTGTGAATTTTATTATCTGCAAGAAGAACACAGAAGCAGCACTGAGTTAGGAGAAACAAAAAACACTATATCAGAAAGTATTGACCTGGTGGTTACCAACACGTTGAATTGACTTGGTTACTTCCTGTAAGGCAAGTTTATTCGGGAGAAGCGGTACCACCGTGCGCGGGAACAAGCCGGAACTCAAGCGAATGTATCATTAGCTTTGGTTGTAATTTATCGACCGTTCGGCCGGTGCCTAGCTGTCAAGTAAGCCGAAAGAAGCACAAGGGATGAGGGTCAATCGGGTTACCCAAACCTAAAGGCCTGGGGGTTGGATTTGAACTACGGACCTTCCGGTCAGTAAGTTGGCGCCTTAAATACTGTTATAGCTCCAGCGCAATGTATATACAGTCCCACACTTGGGAAGATGGGTTTCTTTATCGCCTCCTCTCCCGTAGTCTCGGTGAACAGGACGGTATCGACTGGAATACAGCTGTACATGAAGTAAGTGACCGTTGTTCTCGCCCTTCGCTGGGGCCGCGGTGGGGATAATGTTAGTAGTCCCTTAGTTTACAGAATATTCATTATTCTGCGGAAAGACCGATAAAGACGACCGATCAAACGGGATCCCTATAGCGAAGATCATAGGGGCGAGATGGCCCAAGTGGTTAGAACGGGAATTTACTGACCGGAAGGTCCGTGGTTCGAACCCGACCTTTGACTCTCGATTTCCCCTGTCTAGACTTGGGCAACCCGGCAGCATCCCGGCCCTCGTGCTTCCTTCGGGTGGCATGGCAGTTAGGCCCCGAAAGTGTGCTACAGCTGAATGGCTGGCAGCCTTGTTGTAAATAGCTCGTTATAACAAGCTACGTTTAACAGGCGCAGCATGACATGTTCTGCAACACCTGTAATCTGATTGCCGCCACAGTGACCAGGTGACCAGACGAAGTCAGGTCTGGTGACAACCAGAGTTCACGTCATTCCGTTGTACTAAGTATAGGGTAATAGTGTTAATGGTAGACAGCTAGTAACCGAGCGTGTAGCTTATTGTTCACTCGGGGGGGGGGGGGGGGGCGAGATCTGCGGGGTTCACTGTGCCCAAATATGATCTATTCCACCTTCGGCACTTTGTGATCTCGTGAGGTCCACTGAGAACCGCCGTGCGATGATATTAAAACGACTATCAATATAAACGATTACTTGCAGACCGAAAACTCTATGTATCACTTTAGAGGGCCTCCATCAACCGGAAAACCATTGCAACTGCGAATATCACGGTGGGGATATAGGGTTAATGTTGTCAGGAGTTAGGAAGTAATGATCTCTTGTTACTCAGTAAGTGCAAATGCAATGTGGTAGTTGGGTCATCACATGGGTGGATGTTTTTCCGATTATCAGGCTGAAAGCTTATCAGCACTAATATCATCATCATCATCACTGTCAGCTGTAATAACCGCGTACTCGTCGTACAGTGGTTGCAGCAGCCACAGTTTCGTTCACGGATGATTGGAGGGGGGGATAGGTAGCTGCGTATTGGAGGCGGGTGATGATAAGTTGGTGCATAAACCAGCACTGTCAGTGGGCTGTCAAGTGGGGGGATTGGGAAGGGAACTATGCATTGAAGGCAATAGCTTGGATGCACGAGCGCCATTGAGGGCGCGACTGGGCCATGTTTGACAATGTCTCTCTCTAGCCATTGATGTGAACCGTCTTGGAGTCCCTATCCAGGAAGACAGCAGTGACCAGGGCAGCTGAGTTTGCTGGTAATGGCTTTTATGATTCGCTACCAAGTCAATGTTTGTCCGACTCTGGCTCTCTTCCACCCTTCACGTGGATGTGCGAAAACAGCTCTTCAAAGAAGCCGGCATACGCGCTGCGTATGCCAAGCCAGCGCGACCTATGCAGTGTGATCAGTTCATCTATCGAGGGTGAGTTATTTCCCCCGAATATCATTCGTAGTACTTCAGCATTGTGGATCCGGTGTTCCCACCAGATTCGGGCAATGCTCCCGAACGGACAGTGAATACCGTTCGTCTTGATAGCTTGCAAAATAGTTGTTCGTCTTGGTCACTCCTGTAGAATACACTCAGGGGAAGGTATGCTATTCCGATGGTGATTCTCGTGTTATTCCTCATCGAATCTTTCGTACCGCTGGTATTGAATAAAAGAACGAAGAGTTCAAGTAGGGTGTTCCACCAGGGAAATCGTTAAACTAACTTTTCCTGATGCGCGTACGATTCGAGGGTCAGTAGAGAAACTCCCGATTGTGAAGGAGACCATGCAATAGGCAGTGCTCCACATGTTGCGTGCAACGAGACAGTTCCGTCTATTCGACTGCTACTTTTAGTGTATGCATGAGTGCGAGTGGGGTGAACGCCATGGTCAAGTGACCAATTAACCTCTTGTGACGACCACAGTTCACTTGCACCCTTGACATATGTAAAACACACTGTTTTAACCGGAATGATGAAACTGGTGCGCACTGGCAATCGGGCTATCCCCTCAGGATGTCATTTTGGAGTAAAGAGCAGCAGCTGATCAATTCAGCCTGCTCGCTGGGTGTGCATTTCCAACTTTCAGAACCAGTTCACACCGTCTGAAAAATAAGCGGTCTAACTTAGATGTTTTGATCCCATAGTGGAACAACAAGCAAACTTTCGGAAGACCAGTTCAAGCATAACAAGAATCAGTGAACGATTGGCACATATGCCGTTAAGTTAGATGCAGTTATCCACGGGGAAAAAGCTCTATCTACTTCCACAGTCAGCTATTGGTCTGTCTCGTATGTCCTTAAATAAGGAGCAGGTTATGTAGCCTGCAAAAGAATAGGGATAAAAGAATACAATACATCAGTAATACACGACGGCAATTAACTGCCACGGTCAAGAGATAGCAGCTCGAGATGGCTCTGTGGTTAAGGTGCGAACTTACTGACCGGAAGGTTCGTGGTTCGAACCCAACCCCAACATCTCGACTGCTCCTGTCTAGGCTTGAGTAAACTGGCAGTACCCCAGCCCTCGTGTTTCCTTTAGCTGGTGTAGCAGCTCTGCACCAAAAAAAGTATTACAGCTGAAGAGAAAACAACGGGAAAAGATGGGAGACGTCAACCGTCACATGTTTTCAGTCATGCACTCTGCTGTACACAGCGGCTAAGGCGACCCGGTTGATGTCACCGTGCGATGGGAACGCCGTTTGAGAAAAACTAATGACAGTCGCAAGAAACTTACCTCTTCCAAGTCTGTCAGCTCTGGGGTACCGGCTGGTCTAGCATATTTCAGCTTATGCGACGTCAGTCCGCCGGTCTTTCGTCCCTCCACGACAAGTCCCTTACTGTCGACCAGGTAGAGTTTTTTCTTCGCTTCCTCCGCACTGAGCCCGAAACGTTTGGTCAGTGCTCGCGTGGTCAGATCGGCGAATCCGATCGCTGCTTCTCCGGCCCCATAGCACACTAACTATCNCCCATAGCACACTATCACCTCTTCCGATAATTTGCGTCCGGTTAGTGTGGGCGAGGCTAGTATACCGGCCAATACCACGGATGCTGTGCCCTGACCGCATTTGAAAACAGGACAAATAGAAGCCAAGTGAGACAACATATGAGAACAGATAGAAGGAGATAATACGGATAATTCACTCACCCGGGGGGAGGGGCGAGTTGGATTGGTCACTAAACCAAGGAGCCTGCCCGAAAGATTGCAAGCGGGATGACAAACCCTAAGGAGCCGTCTTTAGTTAGTGTTCATCTTGGTCTGTTTTTTGTGAGACCGCCTCACTCGCTCGGTTTAGTTTGAACAAAAGAACAGCGGCAACTTGAACTGCCCGTAAATGGCTTACTGCCGAAACTTATTGGGCACCTCCCATTTTATTCAACAGTTGTTGTCAACCGCTTATGTGTGGGTGACGTGCGCCACTTGGAGACGGCGGAGTTCGAGTCTCCTTGGACTTGAATGGTGGCCTTAGGTAAATCAAGAAAACTCAGAGCCAAAGCGGTACCGATTGCTTCAAGACACAACTGATCAAAATCGGAAATGAAACGGAAAGTGCAGGAAACGATGAGATGAAGTCAAAATTTCATGAAGCTCACAAAAAAAACGGAGTGCTTTTTTGAGGTGAAACAATCTCTGTTTCGTTTTGTGGCGTTCTGCGTCTACCTCTGAATAAATCAAATCCACAAATAAGACGGACATATTCGGCAGCATTTTTTGCCACTGAATGCCCAGAAATGAGTTTGGAAACCCGGGGAAACAGAAGTGCGTGACAAAGAACCCCGAATGCGGAACAAACTCAGCACAATAATCTGCCACAGTGTGCCGAGTGTTCTTCTATCGATAAATAAGTAACGTGCAACTAGATGAGACGGCTCAAGTGGTAAGAGCGCGAATTTGCGGACCGGAAGGTCCGTGGTTCGAACCCGACCTCTGCCTCTCGACTTGAGCTTGGGCGACCTGGCAGTATCTTAGCCCTCGTGCTTCCTTCTGGTGGCATGGCAGCTGGGCACCGGACGGGTGTTAAGCTTAACAAACGAAGTGGAAAAGTGAGAAGCAGTTTAGAAAAATCTAGATGCTGGTGATAAGGGTACGGTCTTCAGATCGGCTGACGTCCACCAGGTTGATGAATTAAGCCACCGAGAATTGGCACTGACAGTTTCAAGACTGACTCCAGGTGTATCCCGGTGAAGCGCTGGTAACTCCGCTAGTTTTACTGATCGTGGTGACTCAAAGCGCACTACCGAGGTTTGAAATAATGTGATCCCGCGGAAGAACAACTTACTATTGTGAGTGTTTCTTCCTGTGACGCTGGAGACACTGACGAAGACAGCGAACCTCCAAAAACGGCATTAAACGAAAATGAAGAGGCGAAAAAGCTTACTCCAATGACTTGGAGAGGATACCATATCAATGCTTCCCAGCTAATTTAGGGATAGGCCTCGCCTTACACGGACCATTAAATCACTATTGGGCAAAGATGACAAACCACACAGGCAATTAGTGGTCAGTTAGGTAATGAACGGGGAGAGATGGCTCAAATGGTTAGAGGGCGAACGGAAGGCCCGTGGTTCGAACCCGACCTCTCCCTCTTGACTTCACCTACCTAGGCTTGGGCGACATGGCAGTATCCCAGCCCTCGTGCTTCCTTCGGGTAGGATGGCAGCTAGACACCGGAAGGGCGTGAGATAGCAGCTAGACACCGAAAGGGCGTTACAGCTGAACGATAGGTAATGGACGCTAGTTCAAACCTTCAGGACTGTACTGGATATAAACCAGATCTCGCACTCTGAAAGCATGGTCGGTGGCGGTGCTAACGGCGAGATCGGATGAATTTGCGGAAGGACTATTATATATGGGGAAATGAGCAGCTAACGGACTACCCCAGAGAGTCTATCTGGGAGCTGATTGTCTTGATACCACGCGGTACCATTCACGTCTGGTGGCCAAGTACTCTGAAAACATCAACCTTGAACGGCCTGGTGTCTGATACGAAGCCAACTCAGTGACATAAACGGATGGATAGCTCTCAGTTAGTTTAGTACAACGAACAATTGGTTACTCCGAATCGAAGAGAAAGATGCGACTCTCCATCATCTCCACATAAATCACATAATAAGTTCAAGGTGCGTACTCCAATCAGTGTATGCTTGAATTATTCAGACGATAAATCTGAAGTACACGGAGCATGGATCGGGCGCTAGCGATACTAAGTGGTCATCTAAGACTGTTATATTTTGGCGCTGGCAGATGGACAACATGGAGCCACCAGTGGCGAAGGACAATCCGACCAATTGAGATGGTTTCTTCCATTGCCTAGTCGATTATCGTCATAATCATCATTGTCAGCTGTAAGAACCGCGTACTTTTCGCACAGTGGTTGTGGCTGCCACGGTTTCCTTCACCGATGATTTGAAGAGGTGGGGTAGATAGTGGCACATTGGAGGTGGGAGCTGATGAACTCGTGCGTAAATACAACACTGTCAGTGGACTATCAAGTGGAAGAATGGAAAAAGGGGGAAATGCATTGAAGACAATAGCTTGGATGTACGAGCGCCATTGATGGCGCGACTGGGCCATGTTTGACAATGTCTCCAACCATTGATGTGGCCCGTCTCGGGGTCCCCATCCTGGAAGATGGTAATGACCAGAGCAGCTGAGTTTGCTGGTAATGGCCTTTATACTTCGCTGCCAATTCATTGTTTGATCGCCTCTAGTCGACGTACTGGCACAGTACCGGTTTGCTATAGTTAGTTTTGTCAAACACTGGACTTCAAACCCCTGGGACAGGCGATAATGAACTGTCTTGTAATCAAATGTTCTAAAGTAATAAAGTTTGTAAACGTCCCCGAACGCTTCATTTGGCCTCGTCATCGTCATCGACAGCATGACATCAGTGTTCAACACCGATGCTTCACTGCCGTACGATTCGGCTTACTATTACATAAAGCTTTCACTATCAGGAGATCGTTGTAATGAACAACCTCATACCCGACGGTGACTGACAGAAGGTTATTGCGCTGTAATATGCGATGACGAACAAACAAACTTCCACATGTTTTCTTGCAATTTGTACTTCTCGTTTGATTATCTGACATACGAGTGAACTTGTAATAAAAAATTATAGATAGTCAAACATGACCTTCAACCCTGAGAAAAACAAACCTTCAAGACCGATCTGAACGGTCGACCGATCACGGCGGTACTGTACTCCTTTTGGGGAGGAACTGCTGGTTCCATGTAATACTTCTTGCACATAAAGAAGAAACTCACCTGGATATCATCGTTGAATGTACTGTAGGACTTATCGTACTTGTGCAGCAGACGGAACGCATTGTGATTCGCAAAGTCCTCGAACTGAATAAGGACATGTTCCCCATAGCTTTGGAAGAAATCGAGAGGGGATCAGATGAGAAGTAGGGAAAAGTCAGCAGAAAAGCGTACTTTGGGAACGGACAATAAACATGGCCTTCCAAAAACGTGGCCTTGAAAAACGATGTGTCCTTCATAACTCATCTACCTGGTTAGAACAGAAACTGGCGCTTCCTTCAGGGAGTGAATACCACAAAACCATTAGTCCCGGAAATACCCGCGAAGGCTCAAATACCTCAATGCCATTGTCCATGTGGGATCAGAGTTANATATAGGAGGTTATCCGAAACCTTGTTTAATATTGAGCATAATTAGAATTATTCGTGGACTATAGTACTGTCAGCAGTATATCAACCATCAAGATCGATGGTCATTTCTACAGTTTAATGCAATGTCTTCAAAGTTCCAACAGGAACAAATTACACTTGATATATTTTGAACAACTTCTTACACGAAGATGATGAGGCGAGGAAAACGGTCAATCTGAAAGCAGCTATAATTTTACAATCTGAAAGGATTCAGCGGCAGAATACATCATCATCATCATGAACACCATCGACAGCATGATATCAGTGTTCAACCGTTTGTAATGAAATTTAAAAAAATGGAACAAGGAGAACCTGGGGATATTCTACCAAAAACATCCAAGTTGCCTACACCACCAACACACGCAGCCAGACAGTCTGGATAGAAACTAACAGCACGAACGCCACTGACACCGGTTGGCAGCCACATCGTTCAGTGTCGCCAGCCAAGCATAAGGAGGGTCACAGAGAGTTCACTCTGCGTGGCGAACCACACCAACGAAAACCAGACTTTTCGTAAAATCCTTCATTCCATTCTGTCCCCCGCCACTACGAATTGGGGATAGAAAACAGCGCTCGTCTCGACAGGCGGGAACTTGCCATGCGTAACACACGACCAAGTCACCTGAGCTTGGAGTGCTGGATGCACGCTCTTTGAGACTCAGTGATACGCTATCCCGTTGTCGGAACACATCTCGTTTGCGACAGATCAAGGTGATCAAAACGAATCATCATGAATGACTTCCGCAAAAGTCACTCATCTGTTCTCCCTAAAAACTAATAACCGGTTGGTTGTCAACTGTGGCAAACACAGGTTGACGTGAGGGGAGGTTCAAAGATTCCCATGCCCTTCATACGCTTCGCCTCGTTGATCCTGATTTTTGCTTCAAATGTAATTCGATGTCATTTATTGCCCTGTCAAGGCACTTACGCGAGGTCCATGCGCTGCGGAAGACGCATCCACGCTTAGCCACCGATGGGCAAAAACTCAATCCCAGATGATCACCATCCCCCTCTCGATTGATCTGCTAAAATCGTTCAGCTGTAGCATCCTTTCGCTGTCTAGCTGCCATGCCACACGAAGGAGGCACCAGGGCTGAGATACTGCCAGGTCGCCCAAGTCTAGACAGGGGAAGTCAAGAGGCAAAGGTCGGGTTCGAACCAAGGACCCTGCGCGCTCTAACCATTTGGGCCATCTCGTCCCATTGATAGGCTAACTCGATACCTTCAGTGCGACAACGACAAAGACACACATAGACAGGGGAGTCAAGAGGCAAAGGTCGGGTTCGAACCAAGGACCCTGCGCGCTCTAACCATTTGGGCCATCTCGTCCCATTGATAGGCTAACTCGATACCTTCAGTGCGACAACGACAAAGACACACATGAGCTGCGTAAGTCATCTTTGTGCGACACGATGGAACTGTCTGAATTGGTTGCGATCAGGTCTATCAAGTCCAAAGCCACATGGGATGTGCTGTTTGTATGACAAATATTCATTTTGTGTTGGCTGGGCGTATAAATGCTAATTTTACTACATCAGAAGTTCTGTCCACTTTCATGCTCTCAACATATCAAGAATGAAGGTGTTTTACTGATTTCCACACACAAAATACAGTCGTATGTTTTGGGTATGGTGTGACATTTCATTCGATCCTATTTAAAGATTTTGTTCACAGCTGGGTTAATGAACAGAGTTCAGCACTCAACGTGGTCAACCCAGTCATAAGAGAATGAGCACACAACCATTACTTGCAACATTGACCAGTTAAACTACGCTTATTTCCAATTTGCTCTCTCATTAATGAACAAAGGTTTCTGGACTGTTCGAAATTTTCTAGACGCGACAGACTACTCACAAGGTTACCGAAAACTTTTCGACATGTTCACACTGAAGTAGTCTATGGGCAAATGTTAGGTTTAAATGTCATGGATCAAAATTTATTCCCATAAAGACAAGAAAGCGTCCAAATCATCGTGTGCCTTTACGAGGGTAGCATTTGGACCAAGTTGTACTTAGTCGTGAACAGCCGGACAGAACACCAAGCATACCATTTGATGAAGCAGCAATTTCGTAAATACACTCATTTGCAAATCAATTTGGCTTTCACGAGAGACTCAACAGAATCTCTTGTTTGTGATATTCTACAACTGAATGTGCTGCACACAGGCCGCCTGATGATTCAGTTGGCACGATATTCGAGATATCGCAGTATGTTTTCATAAAGCAATTTCGTACTTGAGAATTACAAGTATGCAAGTGTCAGAAGGTGGTTTAGAGGTCTGTAATGAGTTTTTTAAATCGGATCAATTAAACTCCAGAAGATTATGAAAAGCTGACATTTTTTGTAGAGGCAGTTGAGAACAATCAGGTCGCTCGGTTTTCATTTTATCCGCACTTCGGCCAACCGCTGAAGAAACCATGAATTTGCATGGAATCTGAAAGTGCTGAACCACATTCCAACCAAGCCAAACTCCAAAAAAAACATCATAAACGAGAGTGTCAGCTGGGTTCCAGGCGGGTATTCCCGCAAAACCAAATTAGTTTGCAAATGAGTGCATTTCGCTAAGGGTTAATCAACTTAGGCCTCGGCATCAGCTTTGTCATAACGTGATAAGATCAGCCAATTGCGATCAATCACAACATCGTGAATTGACCGTCTCACATGACCTTTAACCGTTTGTGTGTATGACTTGTCTGCTTATCCAAAGCTCACACACGGTTTGTCCTAGGATGAACTGGAAACGGCTGAATTGCTTTGTTTCGCCAAGACATTACTTTTTTGTTTTGCTAAAGTTCGTAAAATAAAGGGAAATATAATAACCATTGAGGGGAATGTAGGCACATCATGGTGAAAATATCCCAAGAATGCGACCAAGCAGGTAAGCTGATAAATAAGAAACTGTCTAGTAACTGTGACTCGATGTCAGTCGGCCGACTTCCTCAAAGGGTTCTTTTCGTACAACAACGTCAAGGGTGGGAACGAGCCAGAGGCGGTCAAACAATGACTTAGCAGCAAAGTATAAAGGCCATTGTTAGCAAACTCAGTTGCGCTGGTCATTGCGGTCTTCCTGGATGGGGACCCCGAGATGCGCCACATCAATGGTTCGAGACATCATCAAACAGGGCCCAGTCGCGTCATCAATGGCGCTCGTGCATCCAAGCTACTGCCTTCGATGCATAGCTCCTTCATTTAACAGTCTACTGACAGCGCTGTATTTACGCACGAGTTTATCAGCTTTCGCCTCCAATACGCAGCTATCTACCCTACCTCCCCAAATCATCGGTGGACGAAACTGTGACAGCCACAACCATTGTACGAAAAGTACGCTGTTCCTACAGCTGGTAATGATGATAATGTTCTCAACCGTCTTCCAATTGATTGGAGAACGATTGATGTTTGGGTCGTTCTAAAGAAATCACTCAGTCTAGCGTTGGTGTGAATTGTTTTATCAATGACAAAGAATGGCTTCAGATTATGGTTACTTTGGCAGATTGAATAATGTGCGCATGATATATCCCAGATAGATGACCAGGACCAGAGGTTGCGGAGGAGTATGCTGCCTTGGTGGAGCAGGGCTCTTGTCTGCTATGCAAACGGGCCGGTCGATTTTGCCATGTCCTGCTGCGTGCACATGGTCCCCGATATCGAACAACCGTGACGGCAACGCGTGGTTGGTCTCCAGATTTCGTGATATCGCAAACAAGAAAAAATCGAAAATCGTTCAGTTGTAGCACTCTTTCGGTGCTTAGCTGCCATGCCACATGAAGGAGGCCCGAGGGCTGGGATAATGCCAGGTTCCCCAAGCATAGACAGGGGAAGTCGAGTGGCAGAGGTCGGGTTTGAACCATTAACCTTCCAGTCAGTAAATTCGCGCTTTAAACACCTGGTACACTTGGTCGCAAACAACGGTCAACTGAATGCAGCTGACCTCAGCTTTTCATTGTACTTGTCATATCTAAGATGCCATATGCTGTATCGAAAGCCACTTCAGAAGAGGAGTTTATCCTCGAAACACTGCTGTTTTAAATGCTCTTCCTCACTTTTTTAAAAATAAAAATGCCTTGGTGTAAAAAGACAAGTCTACAATACAAGTGATCAGAAATAGGAAAGAACATGATGGCACACAAACTAGGTTAGGAACAGCAAGCTACGTCGGGAGAAATTTGAGACCCATAGATTCCATAATCAGCTGATGCTGATTTGATTTTCATAACTCCGTTAACTTCCTTTCATGCAATGCGTAACCAACGAGAAACATATTCTCACACTTAGTAAAAGTTTATGCAGCGGTGTGGAAGCGCGGAGGAGCAACAAGAAAGAGGACAAAGAAGAGAAACGGGAGACAACGTGTTGCATGCACCCTTGCAGAAAACGAAACTATTTTGGCGACAGTGAAATTTTGTCCGGGGACGGAAAGACTAGGAGGCTATTGAATCGGGTGACAAACCGAAACACTAGCGCATGTTATCAACATAAAAGCACAGTGGTTGGGCAAGCATCGGACAAGCAAGCACTGAGTTTCGGACTCCCGTACAACTGATTCACGGCACTCAAATCAAGTGGTTCACTGTAACCAGAAAAAGATACTTACGATGACCAGTTGACTAACAGAAAGATGAGAAGGAAGCTTGTCTTATTGCTGGCTTCAGGGGAGTTTGGAAATCAAGCGGTAGATGTATCGCTGCGAAACGTTTCGCTTTTAACACAAGGATTTGTTGAATAAAGTGGCCAAGTTTGTCGGACGACTAGTCAGCTGTTAGTAAACAGTAGACTAAATCAGTGTCACGTGCTGGGTGGAAGTCTTTTGTCGGTGAGCATGGGAGAAAGCTTTTGTAAATATGGCGCATCAATGTTCCGGTTCATAACGTCTCAGTTGAAAATCCCTCTTGAATGCTAACTTGTTGATCTCTGTGAGTTAATTCTACAACAGTAGGTTAGAAGGAGGGAGTTAAACGTGCTTTGATATTTGCGTGATCTACTTTATGCTTAAAACGCTGAATTGACGATGGCATAAGTGTCAGTGCGGGTGATTCAAAAGTCATAGCCAGCTCTAAGCTTTATGATTTTTAATCCCCCGACATCAATCGCTGCGGTGTGAATCGCAGATTGCCCGATCCACAACTGCTAGAAGCTTGCCCTATGCTCCGTCAAGGATGCCCACTCTCTCCATTCCTTTTTAACTTTGTGATCGATGAAATAATGAGACGAACGCTGGAGGGTCTCCAAAACCCTGGTGTTCAAATAGTCAGTGAAGAAAACCTTGTCGATCTGGAATATGCAGACGACATCGTTCTCATGTTCGAAGAGGAGGAGAAGGCGCAAGTATTCTTGGATGAACTGACCAAAGTCATCCCGTCCTTTGGTACGCATTTTGCACCCACAAAGTGTAAGGTCATGCTTGTGGACGTGCAGTCACTGAACACGCCACTTACAACCCAGGGAGAGGCACTGGAAGTTCTGGAGCGTTTTACGTATCTTGGAAGTTGTATTAGTTCTGACTGTAGTGTGACAGATGAGGTGAATGCACGAATCTGCAAGGCTCGGGCCGCGTTTGCTAACTTGAGACACCCATGGCGTCAGAATGGTTTATCCCTGAATCTGAAGGGACGTGTGTATCAAGCTACAGTACGGGCTGTCTTGTTGTATGGCTGTGAGACTTGGCCTATTCGAACAGCGGAATCAATGTTCCGGTTCATAACGTCTCAGTTGAAAATCCCTCTTGAATGCTAACTTGTTGATCTCTGTGAGTTAATTCTACAACAGTAGGTTAGAAGGAGGGAGTTAAACGTGCTTTGATATTTGCGTGATCTACTTTATGCTTAAAACACTGAATTGACGATGGCATACGTGTCAGTGCGGGTGATTCAAAAGTCATAGCCAACTCTAAGCTTTATGATTTTTAATCCCCCGACATCAATCGCTGCGGTGTGAATCGCAGATTTCCCGATCCACAACTGCTAGAAGTTTGCCCTATGCTCTGTATCGGGTGCATGTATCACCACTGCCGGGTCCCCTAACGAAGTCTGCACCTGATGGTGGTTTGTTCATTCCTACCGTTTTTGTTATTTCTGGTGTGTCGTTTCTTAGCTCTTTTATCCACCTAAGGAGGATGGCCGGACCTAGGATGGTTATCGTAGAAGGCAAAACAAACTACAATCTCGTATTCCAGTGTCACTCATTCACTTCAACTGACTGTCAGCTCGAATATTCCAGAAGTACAAACATTCCGTTGTCCGAAACTGTCTAATCCAATAGATAGACTCCAGCAGGAAAACTCGAGATGGACAGAGAGACCACCACGAGGAAAACGAGGTATTTGACATCTCCTGGGAAGTCTTTTTGGGAGAAGGGGGTTGACTGACAACCAGCTGTACCTCTACAAGGAAGGCCGTCTCGATCTATCATGACCCTATACTCAACATGCCGAAGATATTCTAGTCAATAAATGTAAACATTGTAAGAATGGAAGACTCACGTGGCAGTGCAGGCCTGCATGAATTCGTCAATAAACTCATCGTAGGCTTGTCCAGTGACACGATTTTGCTTCAGACCGAAATATAACGGACTGTTGAGCAATTTCTATGGGGAAATAGCAACGGTACACACAGCTAGTTCAAATACACAAGCCGGCGGTTTGTTACATGTACGTTTTTGTTGTAATTGCAATGGTAACTCATGCCCAAAGTAGCACGCGAAATATGAGAGCAGAGGCCTTACTGTACGGTAGGCTTCCTCATTAAGGGGGTCGCTATTCTCTCTCTCTCACACACACACACACAATCACTAACCCACCGCTACGCACCACTACGCTCCTCAATAGCGCACCGATGATGTCACCTCGATTGGTGGTGAAACCTTTGCAATCAAATTATTCAGCTCAGCGAACAAGCGAACGACCACATACACTGAAGTTCACTACCTTATTGGTGCTTATTTCATGACCCTGCTGAAGTAGACAGGCCTCTCCTCTTCAGCTGAGTTTCTTGTGCGCGGCAACCAACTTCACAATGCTTAGCCGGTTTGAACTGAGAGTGGAATTAAACGATATTATTAGAATCCGATTGAAAATATGAAACAAACGTAGAAAGGTCGCGCACCTTTCCTTTACGTCGAGCGCAGAACAGAATAGCTAGTGAAGAATGTGTACTAGAAAGGCCTACAGAAGCAGCCAGAAACATGTAAACTTACTAGCCAAAGAAGGGGAGGAAAAGAGACGTAGATTTTAGACATTTCTTACGTCCGATTCGTTTGACGATTACCTACCGATCCGCGGGCCGCGCACTGGATTCCTCCGCATATGATGACGGTCACACGCGAATACACTTCAATATTTCACACTCTTCTCCTTGTCCATTGACCGTAGGAGACATCTATTGTCTAGATAAAGGTCATCAGTTTTCAGGTGTAGCTTACTTACTCAACCACAGAAGTCGCTTCCGGTTGGGTGACGAAGCACCGTCCACATTTTTTGAAAAGCCCGTACTTTAAGAATTTGATTTCGGGAGGCACTATTTCCTTTGGTTGGTGGACACTCCAGATAGATGTACATCAAAGGCACCTGATACTACTACTCAGTATACCTAAGCACCAGCAAGTCTCGTTCACAAGAGATGAAACTCACTGTTGCGAGCGATTCAATAGCCCAAAGTTTTTCGCTTTGCTGACCTCGATCGACAATTGGCCAACGCCAGCAGATCACAGTATCACAGTTCAGCCACAATGGGCTACAGAATCTATCACAACCAATATACTAGATAATTTCCCCTTACATGACACTTGTCTTGCTCTGGCTGTCTTTCATAATGTCCCAACAATGCAAATCAAAAGTGTGGAATTTCCGTACAACGTCTGTCCTATTTTCAAACAGCTTTTGTTCGTTTTAGCAATCCTTTCGAATCAAATCACTTGTTTTTCAAGAACGGCTGATGGCCGCGTGGACATGGGGTCAACCATTATTCAGTATATCTCTTGACGGACCCTATGTACGACTTTGTGAGTCTCGCCAAGACAAAAGGCTTCGAGTGACCGGGTTTTTGGATCCGTATGCACTTTCAGAAAACAAGTATAGTCTAATATGCACTATGAGGAAGGTGGACAACCGAAGCGAGACCTTGTCGTTACCTTAAAATGATTAAATTGAACTTATTGGCACAAACTGTTCTGGCAAGTCCAAACTTGAACACTATCTAGTATTTTGGTATGGATTTTGCATATCCCTACCTGGTTATATCCAACCTTCAAGGTGTGCTAACAACTTCGGAAATGTCCAGAAAAAGCAATTCAGCAGACGATTAGTGAGTGACACTATGATCTTTCTCCAACAGACTGACCGGCAAAAAAGGTGAACTACGGGGATCATTGATTCGAACGGGCAACATTGTTGTAAGATTAAAAAAATTGATCTCACACCCAGCATGTCTTTGGATGATCTTTGGACATCATCGGAAGATTAGGCAGTTCGGTTACCATCATCAGGATTGCAGACAGCAACATCAGTAGAGAGGAAAGGGTTCAGCTGTAGCACCTTTCCGGTGCCTAGCTGCCACGCCACCCGAAGGAAACACGAGGGCTAGAATACTGCCAGGTTGCCCAAGCCTAGACAGGGGAACTCGAGAGGCGGAGGTCGGGTCCGAAGCACGGACCTTCCGGTCAAAAAATTCGCGCTCTAACTGCTTGGGCCATCTCGCCCGACATCAGTGGAGACACCGATGCGGCACTGCCGCACAACCACAAAGTCCGCTTAATTAGACTTAAAGCCCTAAAGTGTAAATAAGAGAAAAGGGTCGGTGAGGGAGGGACCCAGTACTAGTCTGAGGTACCTACACGTACAAGTGCTCCATCAGATAATTCGGAAACTGACAGCACGAAAGCCAACGACACTGATCTGTAGCTCTTTCCATCCAAGCGCTACGGGAACACAATTCTGGAAATGGACCGCACCAACAGCACCAAACTTTTTCGTAATTTCTTTCACACCCTTCTGCTGAGTCAAGCATTATCCACCTCACCATTACAAAACAGGCACAGAGGACAGCACTTGTCTCAGTGAACAATGCTTCAACGTCCCGAACATGACGGAACTATCGCAGTTGATGGTGGATGTTTCGCACCACTGAAGTGCCTTATACACAAATAGCTACGTTTTCTAATTGAATAATTACGAAACCGTTGGCGCCATCCGACGCCAGAGAAGTTTCTGCGGCATTGGTGGTCGAAAACCTGAAGTTCATATCGGATGTCCGCAGAGACCATGTCTCACAACCATGCAACAACACTCTAAACAGCGAACGAAGGCTGGCTGTCAAGCGGAGGCAAGGAACACATATGTTTGACAGAAGGGCGAACAAACCCCTAAATTAAATCGCTACTCTCCCACTCTCATACATTCTCACTTTCGAACGTGCTGTTTCCCACTTAGCAGAAAATCGAAACGAAAGTGGTTGGCAGAACGCTATTCGGAGGTATTTAAGAGGTTAGTAAAAAGACAACATAGACGAATGATGAAAACTAACTTACATCATTATTGGTCCCCACGTCCAAAGTGACAGGAAGGAGATGCTGAGGTGGTATTCCAGCCAAACCTGTGTACAAAGACAACTTCCCCACTGGAATCCCCATCCCAAACGCGCCTTGATCTCCTAGCCCCAGAATTCGCTCACCATCCGTCACACAGATTGCCTAGAAAGGTAATAAAAACCACTCAGTGAAAAGATTACCTATCGTAAAAAGTACTGAATAGGTACGTCTATTCGGATTTCATCACCACCATCGTGAACAGAAACACTAGCGGAAGACACTAATGTTCCAAAGCGATACAATCAAATTACTCTGTTTAAATGAAGTAATACGATGAAAAGCAAAAATATGGGACCGGGAGGGAGCAACTAAGTTGCCTGTACCATCAGCACTCGAGCAGCCTGTGTAAAAACTGACAGCATGAACGCAAATTTCATCAGTTAAGCACGGGCACACTACCACTGATCAGGAAAAGAGAACACAATATGATCCCTCCTACAAGTATGCTTGGTGTTCACCAAGCGCATATCTTTTCTTTGGCTTGCTCAAAGAACGATGGTCGAGGTGGTGGAATTAGGGAACTCACTTAGGCTTATTTTTCTAGTTGACATATGTAAAGTTTGTCCCCTATTGCTACTTATCTTGGTTTAGGGGGTCTTTGGGCTGGATTTTTTTTGCGTAAACCAGAAAGCATCAAACTGCAAAATTGGCATCATACATCCTTCTAAGTGAACGAATTTTAGCTTCAACCAATGGTTCCCTTTATGTCTGGTTAACCCCAAAATACACAAGGGAAAACTAAAACGTACTCGGATGTCTTTGTGTGGCCAGTTCTGTAGAACGGATTTGATGTTTCCTTTGTCGTGGATGGTAACAAACAGGCCCCTAAAGCGGAAAAATAACAAGGTAACTTGTTAGACAGGCAGTAATGTATGGGTAAAAGGTTCATATAGTGTTCATTAGCCTACGACGATAGCTTATGTCAGTTTAGTCAGATTATCACACAAGTGGATGGAAACTTTAGCCAGTAGTCAGGCTGGAAAGACACGAAATCATCAATAGCAAGTCAGATGTGTCAGGAGCCATGCTTTTTCACTACTACTAGAGGGTGCATGCACGCAAGCGTGCATGCGGAAACCACAGTAGCTTCACACATATTATGTGTACGCGTTCGGGCTGACGAGAGGGCGTATACGACTGTCTAGCTGGGAAGAGCCACTGACAAGATCTCCGACCTAACACAGGAAGCAGCTCGGCTGACATCTTGAACCACGAGCAGTGGGCTAAGTGCATGCTTGAACTTGATCCGCACAGATAAGATCTGATAACCTCCTGATTTCTACCTGTTCGTCCATACAGTTGGGATGGAACAAAGAGGACGTACGGGTCACGTACGGGCAAGGTTGTGTCTAGGAAACCTGATAACGCTGTTCCTTATTGTTCACAAGCGCTCTCCCCGCAGATTCAACAAGTGTAGAGATTTAAATAACAGCAACTGTAACTGTAAACAGCGCAGTTGTCATGACACCCATCGTCAAACGACTCGGCTGTCTCAAACCGAATAAGGATGCCATGTTACTACATTTCATTCAAACGAGCAGTTACGCCGTCATAAATGACTCTATTGCCAGAAGTTGGTTCGGTCAAGTCCATGTTGGTCCGGTGGGCCCTTTATCCCCTTACCCATGAGCCGACGTATGGGGATCGGTGCACTCGCTAACCCGATATCATCTTTGCTGATGATAACTCGTCAATCCTTCACACGAACTTTTGTCGAGACGTTGCGACGTGGGTCGACTTTCTGAGAAAGCGCCTGGTACTCGTCCAAATTAGGTACTACGGTGTTCTGCAAACCATTAGGATTACCGTGAAACCATCATATCGGTTGACTTAAATCTGCTGACTTTGAGATTGCTTAGTACGCTATTTCCACCCCAATCCCTGACTTTCAGTCCATCCTCCCGGCTAGTTGTGACACAAATGGAGATAGAGCCACGGCATCTCCAAAGCACACCAAATCAGGTAGATATGTAGCTTCATATACTGGAGATTGGGTATTTGTTCAGCGCTCAGGTTGCACGGATCATCGCTCTCGACAGAATGGCATCCATGTTCAAAACTGATGCTCTGCCGCCGTGAAATGAAGCATTACACTCGAGTTATGCACGTGGGAAAACAAACCATTTGCAGCGGCATGCTTCACTGTCCACCAAGGTTCTCTGCTTTCACAGATGTCAAGGATCCCGGTCCAGATAGAAGACAACTCTGCAGTGCCATAGCATCAAGTACCTGCGCACTTGGGGGGAACCACCCGTCAGTTTCCAGTTTGGATTGTCCGCGCGCGACCAGTCTGTCTGTTTGGTGCAAATAAATGGACAGGACAGAACAAATAATTCTGCGACCAACAAGGAGACCATGTGCCGTACATCATCCCTGAGTGTCCACAGAACCTATTCCATCAGCTCCACCAGTATCTACTGTCCCTGAATAGACAGAATGCTTTGATGTACTTCCTGTACCACATCGTATATATGTTGAGTGGTATTTTGCCTTGTAGAGGTTGTTTTTCACCAATCAGTCTTCGTGCAAGAACCTGCATGAATCAATCTAATCATGTCTGTTTAAGTGTACACCAATGTTTCCGTTTGTGCTCACCCGATTCTGTCCAAAGGACGCTAAATTCATGCACGTTTAGGCATGGCTGCATCTATTATCCCACTGTTCTTGAAGTTCGATTTAGCGATATATTTCCTCCCATGTTATCGCACCATTATTCTGCTCCTGAACCGATGGCCTGGGTGTTCATGTAGGTATTTGTCTCGGTTGTCCGGCTCGAGGAGTCAGGCACTAGTTTACCCGTAATTAGCCCAATAAGTTTCCTTGCTGTTCTGACGAATTTGCTCAGTTGCCACGTTTCCGCTTATGCAATACCCGTTGCGTACGTGTTTCAGCCAGCTAACTTCTGCCACGCGGAGAAAGAACCCATGATCAGAACGGAAAAGTCAAGTTTCACAACCAAAAAGCGAGACTACTCCCTTACCTATTTCGTATACACACTCATGTCGTTTCCGTTTAATACGTCTTTGCTCGTCCACTTGTGCATCCACCTCCCCCGTTTCCGGAAAAGTAGTTCACTCGGTTAGCAGGGTATGTAGACCAATAAAAAACTTCAAGTTGTTTGCCTTACAGTTGCAAGAAAACAAAAGGATACTGAAAATACATAAACACGGCTTCACAGTTAGATTTTAAGTACGCAGCTTAGAAGCGGATGTGGGTACCTTCTGAGAATGAACGCTACGGGTTCTGGCAACCTGTTTATTTGTGTTGATGCTATGTGTCTTTGCACAGGGCGTTTGCTTTCACTCCTGCTGTAAGCTCAGTTCTACCTTTCGTCTCCGGTTGCGATATACTAAATGGCGTTGCCGCATGAGTTTATAGAACAGAAAACATTTTTCTCTTTCGTGTTCGATAAAATCATGCGGCAAGAGGGCACATGTGGTGAATCTCGCTTGCAAAAAGTCTAAAGTCACTGTAAGTGCCTACACAACCAACAATGTTGGAATGAAAAGAGAGAATCAGATATACCGATTTCAAAAGTGTCCTCTTTCTGAAGGGCCTGGGGTCAAAAGCAATATTGAAGACAAGAGAAACAAAGGCTGTTGTCTTGTTGTGCTTGTGGTGCTACCGGGGTATGACGTACAGACAGGCTACACCGCAACCTTATGGAGCCCAACGTGAAAAGGATAATGGTAATAATAATGGAATATTCTAGTAGGAAACCATGTGGCAGACGGTACCGGCAAGTACATTCTATGACCGAAAGCAGACAGACCATACCGGGCTAGAAAACTCGCCTTCGGAATGAGTGCACAAAGTAAGTCCAGGGCAAAGTAAGCCAGTTCGAAGACCGGCAGTTGGCACTCACCTTCCGTCATTATAAACAAGACTCAAGTTTTGACATGCCAAGCCAACCGTCGGTGTGTAAACCAAAGGCATGATGTAGTCCGGATGTTTATTCATTAGTCGATAAAACAACTCCTTATTCTTGTCGCACAAGTTCATTAACCAGTCATATTTGTCGAAATCGGATTCGAACGAACGAAGGCGAGTCATACTGACGTTTTCTATGTATTCGTTTGCAGCATCCACCTTGAGATTTGCTCCTTTACCCCCAATGGGAGGGATGAGTCCTGTGAGCTTCAACGAGGTACGTTCTGTGGCACCGAAAGCAACACCCTAGATTGTCGACCACGATTATTGTCAACAGGAGCAAATAACCTTGTTTTGTAAGGGGTCCCGTAAAATATGCAAACCCTTGGCAATATCAGAAGGCATCGAGCCTAAAACAGCCCGAAGCAAATTCGATCGCGTAACGAGCATTTCGAATAGAGAATAGCGATTGGATGAACTCAAGATTCAATAATGGATGCGGTTAAACAAATTTTCGGCGTCCGAATTACAGTTTGAGTACTTCCGTTTCACAAGCTCTACGAATTTTAACTTTTCAGTTAAACATCGAGGAACGGTGAGGCCACAAATGTGGTTCAGAAGTGAGTAACGCACGATGGCACCAACATGCCGACTCTTGAAACAATGTACTTGTCTCCAAAATCTTTCCTGATAGAATGAAACTTTTGACGCCAAAATATTGCGTCTTATTGTATGTATTCTCGAACAAGAAATCATCCTAGTCTACTTCCATTTTGTAGCATTTCATATGAATTAACCTGTTTTCTAAATTTTTAGGAGCATTCGATCTTTGAAGTTGCTGCGCCACGGCTTCAGAAATAGTTTCACATACGTTCGTTGATAAATTAATGGCTGTGTCTTTTCCATCCTCCACAGCGTTCGAAAAGGCAATAACTGAATACATGAAGGGTTATTATTTGATGTGTGTGCTTTCGTCCCGCAATTGAAGCACCAACGCTATTTCGCTTTAAGAATAGGAGTACGGAAATCGCAGGAAACAGTGAGCGAGACAAACGGAGAGTTGAGAAATCCGAGGAATTCAGTATGCTGAGCACAATTTCTAATGACGACAGTATCTGAAGTACGCATTTTTGTCCAAGGGTTCGAGGGAAGCATCTCTCTGTCATGTCATGAACATAACCTTGAATATAATTAGAATGTTTCCAAGTTTCTGTACGACCGGCTTCTGGTAAAACGACGGACAACCGAATAGGAGTTTGGCACCTGAATGGCCCTCATGACGTATGCAGCGCCGTCATGTGAAATGCACCCGACAAACAGTTTTGGTAAAGTTTTACAGAGCGACGTATATCTGGCTGTGAACCTTCCTGATTGATGGATGGCACGGGTGCATTGCGCTCAGTTATGTGTGCCTTCGTGCAAAGCGAACATTTCGCTCCCGTGCATAAAGTCTCCAGTTTATTCAGGGAAAACGATGGAAGAACATTGTCATCTGAAGACTTCTGTGATGGACAGACTGCTGGTATGAATGAGGACAGCGAGGGGGGTTGTCTGGCTGCGGGTTCGTGTTGTGGCACTTTGATAATAGAAGAGCTATCAGAAAGCAAGCGTTTTTCAGATAGCATTCATTTACTTTTGGTCACAGATACACTGTGCACAGCTGTCACTGATTTCACCGTATGGTTGACCTGGGCAATACCATACAGTCAATTTTTTGCCGGTCAGAACATGTTCGCACAGATTCTGACAAGATCTGTAACTACTACGCCTCATGAACAGGCGATTTGTCTCCCAGCCCACGGCCCACTTGTTTTACGGCCCTCACGATTGGGCTGTGCACACACTTCCCTTTGGTAGTGTGGACGACAACCGTCTGGAGAACGCGAAAATTCGTTTGAAAAACAGCATGCACGGCCAGCATACATTAGAGCATGCCATGAACAGGGTGCAAGGCACGTCGTTTGGCACATTCATCAATATGAGATGTATAAGTCATATCACTGCTACCGACGAAGAATTCGGAGGGTGGCGTCTACGTTGTGAATAATGTCTTTCAAATGACTACATACGCATTTTCCTTCGTTTTGGGGCACTTGGGACCGCAAATTTTAAGTTTGCACTATCACTCTGATGAAACCAACACGGTGATTTCAGTCAGTTCCTGGTGCTTAATCTCAGGTGATCCCAGACGGTTGACATCTGTGGTTCCAAACACATCAGCACCTTCAATCAGGCTATGTGGCTCCCCTGAATCAATTTGTTCTCCGTAGTGGGAGATCAGTTGGCTCCTACTAGCAAGAAATATTATCCGCGGATGTTTTCTCAGACTGCTTCACCATCCACATACTTTGGTCGTTGGACTGCAAACTACCAAGCATTTATGCACAATATACCTGTTCCAAAGCCACCACCGCCAGCTTTCATTGGTTCGCGTAAACTAACGTGACTGAGTGGTAAGCAACATCAGGGGACAACGCTCAGGGGCGCCACCCATTCATTCAATCCGGCTATTCCCCGGTCCACAGATACATGATCCTCCAACTGATTTGAAATTACCCATGACCCTTTATTGGCCTGTTCTTCCTTTTCCTACCCCATGGCCCAAACCAGATTCAGCCGCTACATAAATGAATAACTCCTGTCCTATTGCCGCAACCTTGACGTCCGTTATGGGGATTTCAAAAAACCTAAGTATGCTAGTGTAATGATGGCATCCCACTGCCATTTCCAGTCTGGTGGCACGATCGGAACAATTTTCTTTCCACCCTTGGCCGACACCTTTTGCTTGCCTGAAACTGCGGTTGCGACTACGGAAAAATATTTCATCCAACCTAACCGACTCTGAGACCAGCCTTCTGAAATCCAATGAACTTATCGTTTTCCAACTAAATTAAACCCAGTTTTCCTCTGCGCTTTCAATCTGCCCCTTGTACAAGTTCAACGATTTTGTTTGCGCTGCTCCTTCAGCCTCATGAATCAGTACTATCTCCTCACCGAAAGTATCCCTCACACATGACTACCCTACGACAGTGACATAAGTGATTCTACGAATTTTCATTATAAACCACGCTTCGGAAACGAATTCAGTTGAAATTTTCCACCTCCCTCTGCGTCTACTTTTGGGACCTATAGGTGACTCACTTACTCAAAAGCGCAAGGTCACTCATGGACAGCAATTTCTTAGAACAAGTCAACCAACTTCATCATCGAACTGGTCGTAACTCATGCCTCATTTTTCTAGTATTTTGGTTCGCACAATTAACACAATATTTCGGGTGATAAGCAAGTCTCGTTTGTTATGCCGTTCCTCTCGTTGTGCTGCTGCCCGCCGCGTTTAGTTTATAATGACACGATCATGCTTCAGTTGGAATCTTTCTCACAAACTGGGAAATATACCTATAATTATATTTACAGTTCTGCAGGCAGCAAAATTTTCAGGGTCTCAAGGGAATTCGCAACGGTGAGGCAAAACCTGTGTACGATCTCAGGTGCTTTCTGTTGGGTTAATGCACAGACCAGTTTTAATGGATAACGGCAACAGCGACCGAACCTGGTATTTCCGGAGGTCGGAGCTCGGAAAGACGAAGGACTTGGATGGAACCAGTAAGCCCGTTGAGTTAGCGCTGGTATGAAAAAGCATGGCATACAATAACATGAATGAAACATGAAAGTAGTGTATATGGTCACAGTAACCTAGCACATTGCTATTTTATGATGTATATTATAATACTGTTATTGTATATATGTATATATATATAAAGAGGCATAGGAAAATAAGTATAAGATGCAGAAAAATTTTGTGGTAAGAGATATCAAACACAAAGATTGACGGGAGTAATACTTCTGGGATGATAAACTAGTCTATATGGAATTCATTGGGTGATTCGGTCAATACCGAAATCTAAGAAAGAAAGTAAATGTAAGAATAAGGGTCACCATCCCCCGAAGCACTGCTATCAGCTTCAATCAACAAATGGTATATGGCAGAAACGTCTTTAGGCGCTAGCCTAAAATGTTAGAAGTGACCGATCAGGAATCTGAATATATATTATTTTAAATTCTATTGTATGTGTACTCCTGGGGGGAGTAGGTGGTGGTGTGGTCTGTTCTTTGTTGCGGTACAACCTAGTTATAATGAAGGCGGCCATAGTTTTGCACGGCGATGTGAGCCGTGGGTAAGTAAGAGTATCTTTATGCTATCTAATGTTTCAAAAAAACTTTTAACGAACAAAAGATCAGTTTTTCATTTTCTGTGTGGTGTTGCCAGATGAATAACTCAGCCTGGATGGTTACAATCGAGCAGCAGAACAACAGAAGACACCCGTTTTGTTTTATTTATTTCCTGAAGTAAAACCCTAGCTCAGATTCACTGGCGATGTGTACATTGTTTATGATACTGAGGTGTGTATATGAACGCACCATAGTTAAACGTAGCAGCCTGACCCTCCCCGCAGGACACCCGATTCCCACACGAGGTTTCCGTCCCTCGCTCATGGTTTCGGATATGCAAGCTGGCATGTCACCGATCATTCATAGCTGTGGCTTGTGCAATATTGTAAAAATTCGGATACCATTCATTGCACCTGGTCGGGAGAAGGCCAGGCCAATATAACCAAGCCACTCTCAAGTTAAGTTTACTTCCTACATCATTCATAACTGTGGCTTGTGCAATATTGTAAAAATTCGGATACCATTCATTTCACCTGGTCGGGAGAAGGCCAGGCCAATATAACCAAGCCACTCTCAAGTTAAGTTTACTTCATACATCAGCTGAGGTTTATTGAAATTAAGAACTGCGTGAGGCAGTGGGTTCAGGATTCTTCTGGGGAGTTGGGGGATAATCCATGTGGAATCTGGTCATAGTTTTCGACAGAAACTAATGTAAAGAACAATGGCAGTCATCAACATGTACCGTTGTGAAGTCGATCGACAACTTAAAGGCCACTTGTTTAGTGTGTAGCACTTAGGTTCAACCGGAACAGCTGGTCATTAGCGAAATATGATGACAAGAAATCAGTCTCAGAGGAACCCGAAGGACTTTGCGATCCTAAAAACATGCATCTAATATAAAGTCGGTTGCCCCTCATCAGTATCATCAGCATAAAATTTATGCCTGTTTAGAATATCTGGCATGAACATCTCCGCCCATTCATATCAGGAATATACATCTTTCTCGAAAGCCACCGTTTGTCGAATGGAAAATTCTGCGTTTAGATGTTTCAGCTTGCGGTGTTACGACAAAACCAAAAGAACAATATAACCTGCGCTACATATGACGGAATTAGTTTTATTCAATCTCCCACTACAATTCCTAGTACGCATCCAAATTCAAGGTTGTACCGCAGAGACTCGGCAGGTTGTCGCGTATTAGGCACACAGCCGAAATTTCTCTGAAACCGCGGTTAGAAAAAGAAAAGCTTTAACATAATGTTTTAGCATTTTATGGTAAT